GCTTAGAAGTTTTATCTTTATTTTGAAGGCAATTTCCAGGTAAGGAAGAGGGGTACTGAAGATTTTGGGGAAAAAGGACAATGTAAAACCCTTGTCCCTTTGCTCCCTTAGTCATCTTCTACGTGCTTTTCTTGTTACCAGACAGGACCCTCCTCATACTGTGATGGAAAACTGAAATTTTGGCTAAACTAGACAGCCCGGTAGCCCGTTGGCTGGGAATGCAAAAATGCTCCGCAATACCCTGTTGTCTCAGCTTCATGACAACAAAGTAGAGTGTTGCACATTAGAATGTTTACCATGAAATGTAAAGGTGCTTTTTGTAACAAACAATTGCATGGCCTACGTGAAGGCGAGCTGTCTGCAACATTTGTAGCCCCTGCAGATGGTCAGCTTTATGGACCTAATCAGAGAGAGTAGGAAGGTGCCTACTTACTTTCTTACCCTCCTGAAGATTCATTTTATTCTAAAGGGTGCCCTTCCGACTTGGAAGATCGTTCTTTGGTCAAGGTCTTGATTGGATACTTTCCCCTGCTTGGAATTAGTACTTTTGAAAGTTAAAACCATGGGCCAGAATATATTAGAAACTACAGAGGCAAATATGGGGCTCAATTCAATGTTTTTTTCTGTCTCCCAATTTGCTTCTTCAGCTTGTGGCCACCCATTTTTCGTGTGTCTCCAAATACCGTTTCTTGTGTATTTAAGTTGTTTATAGTTGTTTTCAGTGGAAGTGTCAGTTTGGAATGAACTATTCTTTCATAAACAGCAAAAATGCCTCCAAGTTTATTTTTAGAATTATTTCAATTGTGTATACTTTTGAATTTTAAAAACAATTATGAATGTATAGTTTCTAAGTTAAAACTTTCACCCCCAAATATTCCATTGCACCCTTAAAATGCTTTTTTAATGAACTCTGAAGAACCCCTTCAGAAAATTTAGCCTTCACTGAGTGTTGCTTCTGAGTGATATTTCACTATTCCCTCAGCTCGTCTGGTGCAGGCTGAAAGCGAAACACCGGAAAGGAGCTTCTGGGCTGTGAATGTACTTGCAGCCACTTAGGACGGAATGGGGAGAAGGGACGTTACATTTAGGGCAGTTGCGAGGTGGAGGGGAAATTACGACTGCTCACAGGGCCAGCCAGGGTGCCCGGGGCCAGGCAGGGTGGGCTGAGCTGTCGTTTAGGGGACCCCGCTGCTGGGCGTGGGGGGGACTTCAGCTGGCGTGAGCAGTCCGTTTTACAACTGAAATAAGGAGGCCTCTGGTTTGCAATTCGGCCTTTGGAGCTCTAACCTTGCACTTCCTTGCGCAACCTTGCCCGGCTGGGACTGCGGCCGCAGGGAGATGGGTGGCGCACGGCTTCTGCAGCAGGGTTACTCAGAGTAGCAAGCTGCTTTGATTTACAGTGCCTTAGGGACACGACGTTAGCGGAACCACCCATCAGTTGGTGTCAGCTGACTGAGACGCTGGAGAGCTAAATGAGGTTGTTGCCATTCAGATATCTTCCAACCTGTTCTCCAGACCAAGCAAAGCCATAGCCTATGAGAACCAGAGGTTAGGTAGGGTAGGAGAGGAGAGCGTCTCAGAAAGGGGAGGGTAAAGGATACTGGGAGAGGAGGGTTTGGTAAGGAGACAGTAGTTATGGGATAGTTTCAAAAGAGAGCAAAGACTCCACTGAAGCTGTGGAAGGAAAAGGAAAGGACAGTGGGAAGGAAGCCCTAATTCTGCCTGGAGGATAGATTCCCTGACTGCCAGTTTCCCCCTCTTCTCCAGGTAGAGGTGCCCCCATCCCGACTGATTCTCTTTTCTACGTTCGATACTTCTTACAAAGGGGCTGGGCTAGGAGTGTCCCCCTCCTAGAAGCAGGTCTCTAAGCACTAAGTGCCGAGGAAGATGAAATATTAAAAATGCCCTGGATTCCTACTTTGCTTAACTGGATTAGTTTATTTGTGGTCACTGTGTCGGTTGCCCACAGTGACCTGCAGGGTCTCTATGATGTACAGAAAAACTTGCTTGAGGCTTTTCTCCAGTTGAATTCTTTTGTCATTTATACGTGCTGACGTGGAAAGAAGTTCATGAAATATTGAGTAAAAAAAATAAAACAAGTTGCAGAACAGAATATATAATGTAATGCCATCTCTGGGAGAAAGTTTTTATGTTTGTTTTTTGTTTTGTTTTGTTCTGACGTGGAAAGAAGTTCATGAAATATTGAGTAAAAAAAATAAAACAAGTTGCAGAACAGAGTATATAATGTAATGCCATCTCTGGGAGAAAGTTTTTATGTTTGTTTTTTGTTTTGTTTTGTTTCGGGTTTTTTTTTTTCTTTATAGCTACACTAACCTCTGGAAAGAAAAATACTGATCAACTCTGTGGAGTGGGAATGGAGAAGGGGAACTTACACTTTTTAAAACTTTTACTCAATTCTGTATTGTTTAATCACACTTTAAGACTTTTTAAAGGAATTAATAAATAAATGGATTTAGTATCTTTAAGTATATGTCTCATGGGCTTTAGTTTCTTCCTTTCTAAAGAGATGAGGCTGAACTTTAAGGTCAATTACATCTATGAAAGTACAGAATTTGTCTATATCTGACTCTGCTAATTTCTGGGGACAAAAGAAATGTAACATACAATTTCTCCCCTCAAGAAGCAGAGAAGGGAGAGTGGTCTGGGCAGCAGCAAGTAAGGGCATGGGCAAAAGAAATGCTCCAGAGCAGGGAAGGGTCTGATGAGTTCAACAGGTCACGAGGAGCCCCTGGAGCACAGGATCACTCCCAGGGACTAATGCAAGATAATGTGGATAGGTTGGGTGGAGCAAGCTTGAAGAGACCTGGACTCCCAGGCTTAGAAGTTTTATCTTTATTTTGAAGGCAATTTCCAGGTAAGGAAGAGGGGTACTGAAGATTTTGGGGAAAAAGGACAATGTAAAACCCTTGTCCCTTTGCTCCCTTAGTCATCTTCTACGTGCTTTTCTTGTTACCAGACAGGACCCTCCTCATACTGTGATGGAAAACTGAAATTTTGGCTAAACTAGACAGCCCGGTAGCCCGTTGGCTGGGAATGCAAAAATGCTCCGCAATACCCTGTTGTCTCAGCTTCATGACAACAAAGTAGAGTGTTGCACATTAGAATGTTTACCATGAAATGTAAAGGTGCTTTTTGTAACAAACAATTGCATTGCCTACGTGAAGGCGAGCTGTCTGCAACATTTGTAGCCCCTGCAGATGGTCAGCTTTATGGACCTAATCAGAGAGAGTAGGAAGGTGCCTACTTACTTTCTTACCCTCCTGAAGATTCATTTTATTCTAAAGGGTGCCCTTCCGACTTGGAAGATCGTTCTTTGGTCAAGGTCTTGATTGGATACTCTCCCCTGCTTGGAATTAGTACTTTTGAAAGTTAAAACCATGGGCCAGAATATATTAGAAACTACAGAGGCAAATATGGGGCTCAATTCAATGTTTTTTTCTGTCTCCCAATTTGCTTCTTCAGCTTGTGGCCACCCATTTTTCGTGTGTCTCCAAATACCGTTTCTTGTGTATTTAAGTTGTTTATAGTTGTTTTCAGTGGAAGTGTCAGTTTGGAATGAACTATTCTTTCATAAACAGCAAAAATGCCTCCAAGTTTATTTTTAGAATTATTTCAATTGTGTATACTTTTGAATTTTAAAAACAATTATGAATGTATAGTTTCTAAGTTAAAACTTTCACCCCCAGATATTCCATTGCACCCTTAAAATGCTTTTTTAATGAACTCTGAAGAACCCCTTCAGAAAATTTAGCCTTCACTGAGTGTTGCTTCTGAGTGATATTTCACTATTCCCTCAGCTCTGCCAGCATTTTCTTAAATTTCCAGTGGTGATGCACTCCCCATGTTCTCCAGAGAGCACCCTAACTATGTTTCTTTTTGGTTCAACATTCTAAACCGAATAATAAAGCTACTTGTCAAGATGATGCTTTCTAGCAAACACACACACACACACACCCCATACTAATAAAAAGACACAAGTATCATGGGAGGAAAATGTTTTCAGACCCCAGATTACTCTGTTACAGTGGCTAAAACCTGGTCATAAATTGTTTTAGATGGAATACAGTATTTCCCCAGGCACCTCTTCCTAGTTCCATTCTTGCTCTTCTATTTTCCTTCTTCCCTCGTCTCTATCCACATATGCCCGGATAGATCTAGTGTATTTGGATGCATAGACACGTCTGTGCCTGTGGTTGTTTTTTGTTTTGTTTTTTTTTAACCACATTCCTCCCACAACGAGTTCTCCAAAACCTTGAAGCTTCCTATGGAGAGTAGGGTTAAAAAGCCTTAAAACTTTTTGTTAGAACAAGTAATGAACACATTTTTAGGTACAAGAACTTGTAAATTATCTAAGATTGGTGAAGTTTTACATGAACATGCTCCTATCTCAGATTATCCCATCCACTTTGGCCCTTCAAAGGACATTGCCCTTGCAACTTTTCCTCTTTCCTATGTCATCGGTTTCCCCTCTCCTCTGGATCATTCTCAAAGGGATATAACATACAGTTTTCCCCATCTGAAATCCACCCTTAAATCCACATCTCCATCGAGATCCATTACTCTATTCTTCTTTGCAGAAAAATTTCTTAGAGTTATCCATGACTTCTGTCTTCAGTTGTCCTCTTCTTGTTCCCTCTGACCCCACCTCAAGCAGACTTTTGCTTTGTTTATTCCACTAACAGATCTTATCAAGGTTGCCAATAACTTTCATGTGGCTAAATCTTTAGGTCAATTCTCGGACCTTATCTAAATTGACTTATCAATAGCATTCACTGTATTCAATTTTCTATCACATGAAACACTTTTTTCCCCCAATTTGACTTTGAGAATTGCACAATCTCTTGATTTTTATTCTCCCTCGCAGCCATTCTTTGTTGGTCTGCTTTGCTGGTTTTTCTTCACTTCCCAGACCTCCAGGTGTTCAAATGCCCAAGGCTCAGAACTGCTTTTTCTCCCACCTCTTTACACTCACTCTCTTCGTTATTCTATCCACTTCCACACTCAAATACCATTTATATGCTGTGACAGTTCCCAAATTTATACCTCCAGGTCCGGCCCGGTGGTGCACTGCTACAGTGCACCGCTTGGGAGCGCGGTGGCGCTCCCGCCAAGGGTTCGGATCCCACATACAGA